AATTTTCTTTACGATTCTGTGACACTCACAGTTGTGTTTGGACCCCCAATAGGTGAGTCACACAACAGGGTAGGTTTGTGTTTTATGAATTTGCAATGTTAGAGAATAGAAACCTAAAGTGTCCATATTTGTAAAGACCTGCTGAAAGGCAGTAGAAAATAGAGAATATACTTCAGTGTGTAAGCTGAGAGAAGTGGCTTTGAATATGTGTTTCCTATGAAAATTCAGACATGTAAGTAGTGCATGGCTGTTTCTGAAGGTGAGGAGCTGTAACTCCAGAACTAAGCATGGAAATAACTGGGGTTTTTTTAACTTCCTTTCTCAGATGATGAGTTTTTCGCTGCACGTCCTTCCAGAAGCATTGTTAGCCTGGACTTTGAATCTTTCCTGGATGGTGAGATTTTTGAATATTGTGAAAGTAGCAGCCCTGCCAATCTTTTGTTGGGAAGACTAAATGTGTGCTCAATCTTCTAATGCTTTATGAAATGGCTTTTCAAAGTTTTCTGGTTTTCTTTTGTGTTGCAGAGGAACAAGCTCCACCCTCCTCATGTTTAGTCCACAAACTCATCTTCCAGTTTATTGAAAGTCGGGGATGCTGGCAGAAAAAGTGTCCCAAACTGTGCTACTTGCCCCAGGTAACATTCCAGGGAAACCTAGAAGGCTCTGAAAAAAAATCCAATTATTGTTTTCTGCAACAGAAAAAACAGAGCTGAGCTGAGAACAAAAGCACCTCAATGAAAGCTTCAGGAATGCAAATCAAAATCTGCTTCAGAAATAATTCTGAGGTGTGAGGAGAAATATCTGTCTCTGAAGGCAGGAGTCCTAAAAGCTGAAGTTTATTAAAAAACCTTTTTTTTTTGCCTTAAAGAAAAATAAAAATTGAGCTGAAGGTCATTTTGCCTCCTAAAGAATGTAGGTTTAAATTGCCAAGCCAAACTTTTGTGATGCTGCGTGGCTGTTGGCAAAGCTGAAAGGAAAAATTTAAAGCAAAAAATGTAATTTGTTATACTTGTACAATTTAATTTTTCCATCCAAACTGCTGGGGTAGCAGTTAAACCATGTTTATTTTTTGTACTTTCTAGGATGAGTTATGTGTTCATATGAGTTCAAGCATCACGTAGTCATCCCCTGAGTGCTGATGTTGCTTTCTGATTGCCCCCCAGGCTCTCTTGGACATCTCCTTGGTGGTGAATCGCTGCAAAATCTTGGGAGATGAGTTGGAATTTCTGCAGAGGTGGGGTGCGAAATTCCAGCTCCTGGAGACAGACATCAAAGACACAGAGTGAGTAAATTCAGAAAATTGTGATAGGATTGTTGGGGTGTCCTGTGCAGGGCCAGGAGCCGGACTTTGATGATCCTTGTGTGGGTCCTTTCTGACTCAGGATATTCCCTGATGCAGTGAGATGGAGTTCACAGTAGCCTTAAGAGGGAGTTTCTAGATAATCAGAAGCAAAACACTGAAATAGTTTCAATTTGGTTTTCTTAAAAGTGACACTTTATGCTGCTGTTTTTAAGAATAATTTAATTTATTTTCATACAATTGCACTATAGTGTCCCAGTGCATGGAAATTAGGCTGTTCATGGATTCCTTGATTTTAGTACTATCAGACAGCCTCTCCTTCCTTGCTGTTTTCCTGCTTGACTTGCCTTTCTTAAATATTGAGGCCAAATTGTAGCAATGCAAAGGAAACAGAGCCAAGAGTTTACCTGTAGCTTAGGGCTTTGTTTCATTAATCTTATGTTTTCCTTAGCCGAGCAGAATCAGTCATGGAAGGAGGGATGCACTGAAACTGAAGTTTACTTTCTTTACTTTCCATTTCCTCTTGCTACTTCCCAATTTTGTGGCATGTCCCAGTGGTATCTTTAATTAAGATATGCATCAGTATATCCAGTCCTCTTGCTACTTCCCAATTTTGTGGCATGTCCCAGTGGTACAACACAAATACAGTTTCACCTCATCCTTCAATTATTGATGCATACCTTTAATTAAGAAGTGTCCAATTATGAGCTTGCTCTGCCCACCTTGGTGCTGTTCCAGAGGTTATTCTAATTTTTTAGTTCCCTTTGCAAGAGTGCTAAAAACCCCGTGGAACTGGAGGTAAATCAGTCCTATTTAAAGCATTAGAAAACCTTAACTGCCCGGGAATGTTTCATGTTAACTAGAAAACGTGTTTTTAGTCTCTATTCTCCCCTAATTTCTGGATGGTTCTGTGAATTATGTGTGCATTAACTCTTTCTGTGAGGGAAGTTGGGGGTTCGCATTCTGAAGTGCTGATAAAGTGTGAAGGGCATTTTTTATCTTATTGCTGAAGTTCCTGTGGGTCTGTGCTGGAGCTCTTTAGAAGTTACTGTGCCTGCTGCATCAGTGGCATCACTTATTTCTGCTGCTGGCACTAATTCCAAGGTGGAAGCTGCCCATTTGTCTGTTTTGCATGGATCTTTGTGTTCATTTCCACAGGGTGAAGCTTCTGTTCTCCTCTTCGGTGGCTTTTGCCAAGTTTGAGTTGACTCTGGCTCTCTCCCATGATTACCCATCCGCTGTTCTTCCCTTCAGGGTCCAAACCCACATTGGGAATATCGGGTGAGCTGGCAGAGCACCCCTGCATGTGACTCCATCCCGAAGTAGGGATGGGGGCTTGAACACTCAGGGTCCTCTCCAACACGTGTGATCATTTTATCTTCCCCAGGGAGAAGGAAGTTGCTGCTGTTCTCTCCAGAGTTCCAGTTGGTCACCACTATCTGCAGAGAGCAGTCAGCTCGATCCATCAGAATCTGCTCCAGGGTCCCAGATAATCCACTGGATCCACAGGCAGGACTGAAGCAGTCAAAATGGGGTAGCCTGTGAGTTCAGTCTTATGAGAATTCCAGCTGTGTCTCCATGAAATGGGAATGCTGTCACCCACTCAGCTCTAGTATTCCTGCCTATTTAGTTTCCTCGTGGCTTAGACCAAGTAGAATGCTTGGTGTAGACCACAAGTTTTACAAAGGCAGGGGTGTCTAAAGAGGAGAAGAAGGAAACTCCTAGCTGCCTTCTAAGTTCAAGGTGGTTTTTATCTTCTGCCAGTCACTGGTGGTCATTCCTGGCACAGTCAGTCATGACTGGGTAGTCATTCCAAGCATGGATATTCTTCTGCTATAGCCCATTAATTTTGTCATTTACAGAGCACTTGGAAAAAGCAATGATTAGTGTTTTCTAAATTATTACAACTGGAATTTTCTTTTGCAGTCATTATTTCACTACCACGTACAATTTAACAGATCCCACCACATCTGGTGTTTATCCATTGCCTGGCACCCCTCCCAGGCCAGACACTGTATCCCTGCACCTGATGAATTAACCAGTTAACCTGTAGCACTTCACCCCCGTCAACAAAGTCAGAAATATTTTTGGAACAGCCTCATATCCATCACTGTGATTCCCTGGCAGAAGTTAGTTCTGACATTGCCTTAGTCCAGCACCATCTCTGGGTGCTGGGGCACTGCCCCAGTTTGGAATGCCATGGAATTCTAGTGGGGAGACTGAACTCCTTAAACCTGGGAGTATCTGTGAGCTCCAGCTTGGTTTTGTGTATAATTTTGTGTATTATGTGTGTCTTGCTGTTGGAACTGATCTCACCCTGTGTTACTGAGCCAAAGCACCAGCCCTGGCTCAGCTCTCAGTTCTGCAGCTGCAAATCTTTGTACCCTGTAAAATATGTTGGATTTAAAAATGTTTTCCTGTATTTTAGTGTTTATATATTTTGTCTTTTTACAAAGTTTGTGTCTGTTTGAAAAGTGGAAGTTTAATAAAGATTGGATTTATCACTCTTCCTGTTTCAAATGGGGATCATGGGCTGCTCTATTTAAACTGGTGATTGAAAATTCAGTACTAAATTAAATTTAAAATATTGAAATAATTATTGTGAAGGCTTGTGAAGGCTTTTCACAATATCATGTTTTTTCCTTGCCCTTTTCAAAATCCTGGCTTTTCACAAGAATTTATTGTATTTTAATTAGGAAGATAGCACCCAAATCATTCTCAACTTAGGTACTATACCTGGAATTTGGAATTTCCCCAGACCATTCTCTGTGCTTCAGTAACTAGCAGAGTGCTGTGGCAGTTCTCCAGGAGCATTATCCACCTCTCTTTTTTTCCTTTTTTGGCTGCTTTTCTTTTCTCTCCGTGGATTTGCACACTGAACCATCAATAACTCAATAAAGCCTCAAGTGAGTTTTTGGTGGAGTTTATTATATTGCTCCGAATATTGAATCAAAGCAGCAGGTGAAGCCACACATTTGTAGTAGGAAAAGGAGCTTGGGCAGACATTATTCCATTATCCAGCTTTAAAAAATCATGGAATTCTTCACTTCCACGTGCCAGGAATCAGCGGCTCCACTCTGTGCAAGGCCTCGAGGCAAAGGGATTCCATCAAAGCCAAGGGATGGAGCTTCCAGTGCGGAATTGCAAGCTCTGCTCCAGCTGCCTCTCCATCTCCAGCTGCTCGTTCTTGGGTTCTGAGGAATTGTCACTGCTCAGGAACTGCACGGGCTGCTGGATTTATGGGGGCACGGGGTTGTGCTTCAAGAGGGAAAAGAAAAGAGAGAAAATAAGAGAAGAAAAACAAGAGGAAAATAATGGCAAGGAGAGAGAAAAAAGGAAAAGAGGGGGAAAGAGAAGGAAAAGCAGGCGGGGGAAGAGAAAAGGAAAGGGGGGAAAGAGAAAAGAAGGGCAAAAAGGGGAGAGAGAGAGAGAAGGTAAAGAAAAACGGAACAAGGAAACAAAAAGGAAGACGAGGAAGGAAAGGGGATTAGAAAGGAAGGCCGTGGTGCCCCGGGGCTGCTGCCCATGACCCCGCTCCCGTTCCCGGGGCCGTTCCCGGTGCCGTTCCCGTTTCTGTTCCCGGTGCCGTTCCCGGTGCCGTTCCCGTTTCTGTTCCCGGGGCCGTTCCCGGGGCCGTTCCCGTTTAAGGCGCTGCCGGGGGCGGGGCGGCGCCTGCGCAGAGCGGTCACGTGAGGCGGCGGCGGGAGCGCCCGAACGGCCGGAGCGGGGCCGCGGTGAGCAACGGGGACGGGGACGGGAACGGGCCCGGGAACGGGAATGGGAACGGGGACGGGGTGGGATGGGCTGGGGCGGGCGGGACGGGCCCGGGGCCGCCGGACCCCCGGCGCCTGTCGGGGCTCCCCCGGGGCGGGCAGCGGGCGCGGGAGCCTGAGGGCGTTGGCGGCGGAGGGTGGGAAGGCCGTCAGCTGTGGGAGCCGCGAGCGGCGGTAAAGGAAGGGCTGGAGCCGAGCACAGTGAGGGGACACGGCGTGGGGAGCGCAAGGAGCTCCAGATGGCCGGCGGGCGGTACCTGGGAGGTGCTGGCCGGTGTTGGTGCCTGCTGGCCGGGCCCCGGTAAAGCTGGGATCGTGGAATGCCGGAATGGCCGTGAAGTTCCACCCCCTGCCATCGGCAGGGACACCTCCCACTGTCCCAGGTTGCTCCAAGCCCCGTCCAGCCTGGCCTTGGTCACTCCCACGGATCCAGGGACGGCCACGGCTTTTCTGTGCCAAAGCCTCAGCGCACTCACAGGGAAGAATTTCTTCCCAGTATCCAATGTAAACTTCCCCTCTGTCAGTTTGAATCCATTCCCACTTGTCCTGCCATTCTTATATTCAAATTGTGTGTTATATCCCAGGTGTGTGAATTCCCTTGTGTCCTTCAGATTCCCATGACAGCTCCTCCCTTCCATCCTGCCCAGCAATCCCAGGCATGGTGCCGATCCTCTGCAGGGTCTTCCAGCCCTTTCCAAGGTGTTTGTGGCAGCCCCAAGGGCAAGCTCTGGGGCACAGCCCAGCCCCAACATCAGGGGCCTGTTCAGAGGGCTTTTCCAGCTTTAAGAACTCCGTGATTCTGATTTGTGTGAGCGCATTACTTATTGCTAAAAGGGAGCACTGAAATGTCTGCTTCCTTCCAGGGCTGTCCTGCGCCCTCGCTGCCATGGCCATGCAGATGCAGCTCGAGGCCAGTGCAGACACCTCAGCAGAGGAGGAGAGCTTTGGGCCACAGCTCATATCCAGGCTGGAGGTAGGTGAGGAGTTACCTCTGAAGGAAGTTTTCCATAGATGCACTTGCTGCTCTTTTTCCTAGAATGGAATCCTCTGATGGTTTGGGTTGCAAGGAACCTTAAAAGCTCATCCCATTCCATTCCTTGCCAAGGAACACCTTTCACTATCCCAGCTTGCTCCCAGCCCCATCCATCCTGACATGAGCATTTCCAGCCTCTCCACCAGGGCCTCACCACCTCCACAGGGAAGAACTCCTTACCAATATTAAACCTAAACCTTTTTCTTTAAAAGCAAGGTGAAACGGAAAACTCTGTTGCTAAATTCTTACTTGTGTTCTGTTAAAAAAAAAAAACCAAAAAGCAACCAAACAAAAAACTCAGAAATACCCAAAAATACCAACAGGTGTCATTTTTCCTCTCTCCCTCTTTGCCTCTCTCCCAGCAATGTGGCATAAATGCCAATGATGTGAAGAAGCTGGAAGAAGCTGGATTTCACACAGTGGAGGCCGTGGCTTATGCACCAAAGAAGGAGCTGCTGAACATTAAAGGCATCAGCGAAGCCAAAGCTGACAAAATCTTGGTAAGGATGTCCTGGAACTTTGACCCAAGATATTCCACAGGTTTACTTCTGCTGGCTGGAAGTGTTGTGGTGAATGTGGAAGGTGTCCGAAGGGCAGTAAGGGGGATTAGAGGTGTGACATGACTTGTGATGGCAAAAGGCAAATCACAGCAGGACAGGACTGAACTGAACAGGGGAGCACAAGGGGAGGATATTTCCATAAAAAACACAAAAGTGATGTTGGAGCTTTTTCTTGGAGCAGAATTTCAGTTCTGTTCAGAGGTACCAACTAGTGCAAGGTCTGTGAAATGTGCATGGAATGATACAGGCACCTCTCCACAAGGCAGGAAATATTAATTACTGAGGGATTAACAAATGGCATTAACTCCCCTGGCACTGCTCACTTGGCTTTCCCTCAGGCTGAGGCAGCCAAACTGGTTCCCATGGGCTTCACCACGGCCACGGAATTCCACCAGCGGCGGTCGGAGATCATCCAGATCACCACTGGCTCCAAAGAGCTGGATAAGCTGCTCCAAGGTCAGCATTGTGTTATTTCTCTTTCCTGCTTAACCTCAGTTATTGGGGTGGGGTTTTCCCATGAGTGGGATCCTTGTACAGAATCATGTAAGGCAAGTCCTGGTTGGATGAAAAACCTCTAGGACCGCTCTTGAATAACTGCTTTTATTTTAGAAGCTGCAGAAATAGCTTTTAGTCCTTTTAGTCATGGTGCAAGACCCAGAGCTGTCCATTTTTGGATGTTTCTGGTTTATTGAAGTCCATTATGTGTTTAGGGAAAACAAAAGCAGGTATCACCATCTCCCCATTCCTCTGGTAATCTAAAAATGAAAACAAGTAAATTCAGCTCTTCAGCATCTTCAAAAACACCCATAAGCTTCTTAACCACAGCATGAACAAACCTCATGATGACAAGCAATTTTCCTTCTTGGTTTTGAAACCTTTAGCCAAATTCAGTGTTTAACTGAGCCTCTGTAAATGTAATATTTTCTGTGTGAGATAGATCTGCATGTGACCTTTTGATTTTTATTTCTATTAATAATTATTATGGTTATTTTCCCTTCAGGAGGAATAGAAACAGGGTCCATAACAGAATTATTCGGGGAATTCCGTACTGGGAAGACGCAGCTGTGTCACACCCTGGCCGTCACCTGTCAGGTGGGGGGTCAACTCATTACAGTCCAATATTCAGGCCCCACAGCCTTGGGATATTTGCTAATTTGGGCACTTCCTTTTACTTTCTAAGTGTTTATTGCTGTCTAGAGGTTTCTATTCCCTAAAATATTAGAGGCTTGGACTTAATTTGATCATTCAGTTGACTCCCTAAACTTCCCAGCTCAAAGCTGAGCGAGCACATATTGTCTTGAGTAGAGTCATGGAATGCTGGAATGGTTTTGGTGAGAAGGGACCTTAAAGCCCCTCCAGTTCCATGGGCAGAGACACCTTCCACTATCCCAGCTTGCTCCAAGCCCCATCCAGCCTGGCCTTGGAGACTTCCAGGGATCCAGGGACAGCCACAGCTTCTCTGGGCAACCTGTGCCAGGGTCTCAGCACCCTGGGGAAGAATTTCTTCCCAATATCTCATTTATCCATGCCCTGTGTTAGTGGGAAGCCATTCCCACTCATCCTGGCACTCCAGGGTGACAGGTACTACAAAAGGAAGGTTTCAGCAGCGATGGGGACCAAGGATCTTTCACTTTTCCCAGCTAAATAGGACTTCAATCCCAATAACTTGGGATGTTATTTGTTGTATGAGCTCAGTGAGGTCATGTGGCAATATCTGCTGTATTTATGGATGCTTTATTCCCTGTTCATTCCTTTCCTTCTCCTTTAGCTCCCCATAGACCGCGGCGGCGGCGAGGGAAAAGCCATGTACATCGACACGGAGGGGACCTTCCGTCCAGAGCGGCTCCTGGCCGTGGCTGAAAGGTCTGTGAGCGCGAGACAGGAATAGATGGACTCACAACTCGGTTGGAAAATGTTTTCCACAGGTCCTGGAGGTTGATTTGGCAGGTGTTCCCTTTGGGAAGCTCTAGTGTTGCCATTCCTCTCCTGTCCCTGCCACTCTCTCCCCAGAGCTCTCATGTCATTGTCCCTTGGCACGAGGTGATTTCCCTGTCTTTTGCTACTGGAAGGGACTGGGAGCTTCCCAAGCAGCTGGGGACAGGACTGGCTGGATCCTGTTTGCTCTTTCTGAAGGGAATTTGACCTAATCCTGCTGGCTTCTCCCACCACTAGGACTGCTCCCATGTTCCCTGTCACCAGGGAAAACTTGGCAGCCAAGCGAAGGAGAGGAAGTGAAATGATGTTTGCAGCGGGCACAGGTGGGTCTGTGCTGGCCATGTACAGAGTCCTTGGAATCAGGGAATTGTTCAGGTTGGAGGAGCCCTGGGAGATCCCTGTGCCCAGCTGTTCCTCTGGTGCTGCCAAGGCCACCACTGTCCCATGTCCCCGAGTGCCACATCCACACAGCTTTAGATCCCTCCAGGGATGGAGCCTCCACCACTGCCCTGGGCAGCCTGTGCCAGGGTTGGATAGCCTTTCCTCTAAGAGACTTCCCAATATCCAGCCTAAACCTCCCCTGGTATCACGTGAGGCCATTTCCTCTTATCCATTTCAAATGGTTCCAATCATTCCGTTCTCTTTTCATCACCACAGGCAGCATTTTTTCCATCTCTGGGGATGTGGGTTTTTCATCGGTCTTTTGGCAAAGCTCCTGGCTAACTGCTATGGATGGAGTTGTCACTCAAGGTTCATCCCTTTGTTTTCCCTGATTTTGCAGGTATGGCCTGTCTGGCAGTGATGTCCTGGACAACGTGGCCTACGCTCGGGGCTTTAACACCGACCACCAGACCCAGCTGCTGTACCAGGCCTCGGCCATGATGGCTGAGTCACGGTAATTACACTGATTTCATGGATTTTGTTCCCACATGGGATTAGCCTTCGGCTTCTCCAAGGAGCCAGTTTGCTCCATGGGCAGTCAGCTGTCAGCAGCACGTCTTGCTGCTGGAATTCTGGGTGCCAGCAACTGGCTCCAGCTGGTGCGGCTGCACAAACACTGGGAATTCATGGTTCCTCAGTGCCAGCCTGAGGAGCCATTTGGAAGCTCAGTTTACAACTGTGGTTAGAAACAGTGCTGATGATTTCCAAGCTGCCAGGAGAGCTGTGCAGGCAGCTTGGAAAGCTTGGAAGCGAGACTTAGAGGCCTGCCTGCCCTTTGCCAGGTACGCGCTGCTGATCGTGGACAGCGCCACGGCCCTGTACCGCACGGATTACTCGGGAAGGGGGGAGCTCTCCGCCAGGCAGATGCACCTGGCCAGGTTCCTGCGGATGCTGCTGCGCCTGGCGGACGAGGTGAGCTTCCACTGGGCTTTATGTCATGGCTTGATGCTGGCCAAACACCAGGCACCCATGAAATCTGCTCACTCACCCTCCTCTACAACTGGAGAGAGGAGAGAAAATGTAATGAAGGGTTTGTGAGTTGAGGTAAGGACCGGGAGAAAACACTCCTCAATTACCAGCAAGGGAAAAACAGGCTCAACTCAGAGATTTGAAGTGACTTCATTACTAACAAAATCAGAGCAGGATAACGAGAAGCTCTTAAAAAAGACACCTTACCCCCACACTCCCTCCTTCCCAGCTCTAACTCCTGTGCCAGTGATACAGTGAGATGGGAATGGAGGGCTTGGTCAGTTCATCCACCCAAGGCTTCTCCCACTGCTGAGGGAGCAAAGTCCTTCCCCTGCTGCGCCATGGGGTCCCTTCCATAGGAGACAGTTCTCCTGGAACTGGAGATGTGACTAGGAACTTCTCTGATGTGGCTCCATCTCACAAGCAGCTGGACAGGCTGCTCCAGACTGGAAGCAGGGCCCCTCTCCATTGGCTCTCCCACTGGATCACAGCCTCCTCCAGGCATCCATCTGCTCCAGCATGGGGCTCCTCTACAGGCTGTGGGTGGATCTCTATCCCCTGTGGATCCCCAAGGGCTGCAGGGAGGATCACCATGGTCCTCACCATGCCCTGCAGAGGAATCTCAACTCTGGCACCTGGAGTGCCTCCTCCCCCTCCTTCTTCACTGCCCTTGGTGTCTGCATCTTGTTCTCCTCATATGCTCACTCCTACTCTTCTCTAGCTGGAATTGAAGCTGCACCACAACTTTTGTTTTGATTTCTTCTTAAATCTGTTATCACATTGGTGATAACAATTATCACAATGCGGTAATTACCACCATTTCTAATTGGCCCAGCCTTGACCAGGAGCATGTCCCTCTGGGAGCCATCCTGGAATTGACTCTGCCAGACATGGTGGAAGCTTCCAGGAGCTTCTCACAGAAGACACCTCTGTGGGCCCCCCACTACCAAATCCTGGCTATGGAAACCCAATATGATTGCCAAAGTAAAACTTACTGGTTTTCTTACAAACCCCAGCAATTTGGTCCCAAGGACTTTGTCTCCACCTCTGCTCCCATTGGTTTGGAGAGGCTGGATCCCACACTTATGGACACCATGAGTGCCCCTGTGTCCTTTTCCCTGATTTTCCTTTCTGATTGTGGGAAATAATTGGGTTTGGGTTGTTTCTCCTGCAGTTCGGCGTGGCCGTCGTCATCACGAACCAGGTGGTGGCGCAGGTGGACGGAGCTGCCATGTTCGCTGCAGATCCCAAAAAGCCCATCGGAGGCAATATCATTGCTCATGCTTCCACCACCAGGTGAGACAAGAGATGGTCATATCCCAGGAGCCTGGGTTGGGAATGTTTTGTGGAATTGGCCGAGCAGCTTTTACTTCTGGGGTTTCCAGTCTGTCCATGGCAGGCCCAGCCTGTGCTTCAGCTCAGCACCGCTCTGGGCCCTCAGTCCGCAGGGAAATGAACGTCTTGGGCACTTCCTGCAGCTCTCTTTACTCCTTTCTGGAGTAGGATGATTTTCTGGGAGTAGCCTGTCCATCCTGACCTGTTTCCTTCCCTCTCCCTGTCAGGCTGTACCTGCGGAAAGGCCGAGGTGAGACCAGGATCTGTAAAATCTACGACTCTCCGTGTCTTCCCGAGGCTGAAGCCATGTTTGCTATCAACGCCGACGGAGTGGGAGTACGATTTCTGACTTTTGAGGATTTCTTCCCTGAATCCCAAGACTCTGTGTCTGTGAGAGGCTCCTTTCCTGGTGGCACCTTAGGGACACTTCCCCAGGCAGCGGGCGCAGGAAGCTGTGGCGCGTCGGCGCGGGAAGCGTCGGGACACGCCGAGCTCGGCCGCAGCTCTTGGGAACAGATCTCCCTCGGGCTGCGGGCACAGGTGAGGGCCGTGTGCTTCCTCAGCAGCATTCCCAGAGGAGCAAACCCTGCGTGTTTCCTTCCCTGGATCCCACCGTGGACACGGTGCAGCAGAATCTTGGTGGCCACAGT